TTTCCTTATTTCCTCATGCGGGTATCGTAGTTTTGAGAATGCTTGGTGATGATTTTGTAGGTGTTGGTCTCTGTCTGAGGGGTTGGAGCATATATGATTGTATCTCAGTGCTTGGCTGTAGACAATGGATCGTGTGGTGGGTCCGGGATGGAAGCTGGAGGCATGAAGGTAGGCATAGCGGTCGGTAGGTTTTCGGTATAGGGTGGTGTTAACGTCACCATCACTTATTTGCACCGTGGTGTCTAGGAAGTGGACCTGCCGTGTAAATTGGTCCAGGCTGAGGTTGAGGGTGGGGTGGAAGCCATTGAAATCGTGGTGAAATTTTTCCAGAGTGTCCTTCCCATGGGTCCAGATGATGAAGATGTCATCAATGTAGCGTAGGTAGAGAAGGGGTATGAGTGGACGAGAGCTGAGGTCAGCCATAAAAATGTTGGCATATTGTGGGGCCATGCGGGTGCCCATAGCGGTGCCACTGGTCTGGAGGTATATATTGTCACCAAATTTGAAATAATTGTGCGTGAGGATAAAGTCACAGAGCTCAGCAGCCAGTTGTGCTGTGGCATCATCAGGGATACTGTTCCTGACACCTTGTATTCCATCTGTGTGTGCGATGTTTGTGTAGAGAGCCTCTACATCCATGGTGGCTAGGATGGTGTTTTCTGGAAGATCCCCAATGCATTGTAGTTTTCTCAGGAAATCAGTAGTGTCAGAGAGATAGCTGGGAGTGCTGGTGGCATTGGGTCTGAGTAGGGAGTCCACATAGCCAGACAGTCCTTCAGTGAGGGTGCCAATGCCCGAGATGATAGGGCGTCCAGGATTTCTGGGTTTATGGATCTTGGGTAATAGATAGAGCCCCGACCAGGGTTATTCTAAGGGTAGGTTGATTTGTTCCTGTGTTAGTGTAGGGAGTGTCCTGAGGAGATGGTGCAGTTTCTTAGTGTATTCCTCAGTGGGGTCTGAGGGAAGTGGCCTGTAGAATTTGGTATTGGAGAGTTGTCTGGCAGCCTCCTTTTGGTAGTCAAACCTGTTCATGATGACAACAGCACCTCCTTTATCAGCCTCTTTGATGATGATGTCAGGGTGGTTTCTGAGGCTGTGGATGGCATTGCGTTCTGCACGACTTAGGTTATGAGGCAAGCAATGTCATTTTTCCACAATTTCTGCCTGAGCACGTCAGCGGAAGCATTCTATGTATAGGTCCAGACTGTCATTTCGACCCTCAGGAGGAGTCCACCTGGAGTTCTTCTTCTTGTGCTGTTGGTGGGAGGGTATCTGTGTATCAGTGTGCTGTTCAGTGTTATCTTGAAAGTATTCTTTGAGTCGGAGATGGCGAAAGTAGGCTTTCAGATCGCCGCAGAACTGTATCACGTTTGTGGGGGTGGCAGGGCAGAAAGAGAGTCCCCGAGATAGGACAGACTCTTCTGCCGGGCTGAGTGTGTAGTTGGATAGATTGACGATATTGCTGGGTGGGTTGGGGTACCACTGTTGTGGCCACATGTGGCAGGTAGGATTTTAGACAGTTTACGGTCCTTTTTCCTTTGTAGAGAGGTGAAGTGTGTAATGTAGATCTCCTGTCTTATTTTAGCGAAATCCGTTTGTGTGGAGGGTTGGTTATTTATGAGAGTCTCCAAGTTGGAGAGCTCTTTCTTGATGTTTTTCTGTTTGTTGTATAGGATGCTGATCAGGTGGTTCCTCAGTTTCTTTGATAGAGTATGGCAAGTACTCCTGTTCTTTTTTGCGGATACAGACTAACATGGCTGCTACTCTGAAACCTGTCATTAAAAAGAATAGTCAGCCTGTTAAATAAAACAGGCAGAAGCTCTAGACTGACTGTAATACAAAGAGAAGGATGCACATTCAGGCTGGGAGACCTGTGACTCGGCTCCTGGTGAGGTCACAGATTGTCATACCAATGAGCCAAGGGATTCTAGAAACAAAAGGAGAGGCCTACTGCAATTCCAATTATATTCATGTCTTCCAGTAGGAGGAGGTTCCAATCCCTTTTGGGCACTGCTTTTCTAGTGTGGGAAGGAGAGATCACTTATTGGCAGCTGCTGGATTGAATAACTAAGACTTGTGGACCCAACAGCTTGAGGGAGTGAGTTTCACCATCCTGACTGACTCCTCCCTTCACTGGGACCCTGGGAACTACCATCATACCACCGGTTCTTTGTTGGCCTGAACTTTAAAGCCATACCAACTAGAAAGGGGGAAACAAATGACATCACCACCTCCACCAGCTTCAGCTAAATCCTCCACAATTCCTGGGGAGATGTAAAATTCAAGTTCCTACTGTTGCCCCTTCCCTATTATGGCATTTTCCTCCCCCATATAATTTCTCCTCTTGCCTATCTTTGCCTTCTGCCCAAGCAGAGTCTGGCTTGGCCAACCAAGACAAAGCCACCTTTACAACCCTGCTGTGAACAGAGGCCAGCCAGCCCGACCCTGGTAAGAGCTTGCCAGGTCTTGAAGTGGCTAGTAAGATTGCATGCTGTGTCTTTGCCCTCCCTGCAGTGAGGCTGCCAGGGAGACAGGCTTGGTTTTCCATCCCTGCTATCCTCCTCTTATACTTGTGTGTACATCTTCCTGGCTTTGGGTTAAAGGAAACAGAATCAAAGTTCAACAACTCAAGACTGTAAAAAACTGGCTCTCTTTCCTGCAACTAGGACAGATAATGCCATCTTTAACACCACCCAAAGCTGGCTAGCAGAGATTTCACCCAATAAAAATTTCTATACAACAAATGAAAAAAGGAATCAGAAAAATTGTTAAAATAAACTTTTACTCAACTTTTTAAGTTTCAGGTACTTTAACTGTTTCCTTTCTTTATCGGGGAGGCCTGGTCTACACTACAAAGTTAACAAGGTCAACAAAAC